CAAAATTCACCCCTTTTCCTAAAACAAGTCTTACGTGTCTGTTGCGTTTCTGTTACGCACCACTTTCATATGGAAGCACGATAATTCCTATATCGGGCACTATTTAACCGATACACACACACCGTGCTCGTATATTATGATGCAACTTTTACCAGGAAACTCATATACTTCCCGCCATAAACGCAGCCTAATGACGGAGTTACCCGCCATATCGTGACCGTAAGCGGCGTTTGCTCCAGTAGTGGAGGCTGTTTACGGTCGCAACGCGGTGATATAACAACCACTCTGGTCCGGTGACGCCTTCGACGTCTCATTATTGAATTAAAACGCTGTAAACAATGCCTTTTGTTCCAGACTTGCACCTCCATTGATTATAAGGAGAGGTACAATAGGTATTACATTATTGTTTGGTTCATGCTTCAAACCGAGCGTAGTTCTTGTCTGACTATGTAGTCAACTTCTCTGTTAACATTTCTTTGTATTTTTTCTTCGGTCTTGTTACTCTATGTCAAACCTTTGTAAGATGTCTAGCCCGATGACAAATGGCACCTTGGTCGAGAGCAGGATCGAACCAGCAACCTTCAGATTTGAAGGCGATTATTATAAAATGTGGGTAATAAACAATATATTCTTGTCACTGTGAGTGTTTCCTACAATTTAAAATGATTCGTGTTTCAATATTAATCTTTAGGGACATTTTTTAAGATTTAAAGAGCATTTTGTCCAGTTCTCTTTGAGTCAACCTTTGCTCTTTTGATGGAAAGGTTTCACACACTTAATTCACGTGGTCCGGCCCCACTAATTTGAATACTAGCGATATTATACCATAAGTTCTTATACTCCAAACTAATCGTAATATATAATTCCAAACATTGCATCATGATAAGTTTATTTAATCAGCATTCCTACTGTAAATGTAGGTACTGAAAGAGCAAAAATATCATATTGCGAAACGATAGTGTCAATTTAAGTTAAAACATTTCAACTTTTTTGTCAAAGAATTGGTAAAAATCTCACTATAGGTTTCCAAAACATGCAAGGCACTTTAACTACAGCCTGCATAAGGAATATGAAGCTTTGGTAAAAAGAGACGCGTCAAAGAATGTCCAACGGGCACGTTCCGTTGAAGGTAATATTGCGTTACGCGCGATGCCGGTTTTCATGTCAGTAGGTCGTGAGTGCGGGACGGCGGGATCGTGATGCTGTACGTTGAGAAGATCTCTGATTGACATCAGAACAATCCAACAATGTGATGCCGGTGTTCATCTGTGATTGTAGACCCACGCTCGGCCTTGGAGGTGGAGATCACTGTGACAGATGCGCTCTTACTAACAGGTGCCTTTACAAACTGTCTACTGTCTGAGGGATTCTGGAGTGTGCAGAAGGAACGTGATTCTTTGGCATATTATGTTTACCACATTAGCTTCAAAAATAATTTTGTGAAATTGTACTACAATGTTCACGTTATGTTTTTGAACTTAAGTCTTTACTGGCGTTTGTTGAATTTTCCGATGGTAGCCTACGAGCCTTGTAAAACATTCATGTTTATCTTTGAGTGTTAAACTGTTTAGAGTTGATTGGATTTTCCAGTGGCACTGTCACAATTTACGTTATATTTTTGAGCGTTAACCCGTATACAGACGTAGATAGGACTTTCCATTTATATTTCCAAAATTCATGTTGTCTTCCTGAGTGTTTAACAGTTAGGTGATGTTAGTGGTGGTGCTACCAAAATTCACGTAGTCTTTTCTAGCGTTTAAATTGTTTACTGAGGTTGGCAGGATTTCCCGGTGCTGGTGCTACAGAAATGTTTCTTTTTGAGCATCTGATTAGTGTTTCTTTACGGCTGCATCGAGAATACATATCGTGGCAATAAAGCTCAATGGCTGTAAGCTTGAGAGAGTGAAAGGCAATATCTGGGCAGCTGTAAATCCAGTGACAGTAAATATTTACCATCTTGGCCTACTTTAGAAGATTTACATTCCAGAGTTGGTTGTTTTTATTTGCTTACAAATAAATGTCTCTACTGCAATGTTTGTAGTCTGGATAACGATTTTGCAATTCCTTTCAAACAGTTTCGTCTTGTTTCAGTCTTAACCTCGAGTGTCTTGTTTGAGTCTCTATTTAGATCACAGATTATTTTGATACAAGTTTGTTATACACACAGCATCTTCAAATTTCTATTAAGCTATCGCGTTCACTTTCTTCACGCTCAAACCAGTTCCTACACAATTACCTTCACCTACCTTTCTATATTTCTTAGTTTTTTTTCCTCATTTTCTTGTTCTCCTATTGATAGATATTTTACCTCATCGCCTGCATTGGATGTCTTATGTCATATCTTATGCCATATCTAATATCATATATAAATAATCATCCCTGACTCCCTATTTACCTAAAATAATACCCTTTGATATTTTGACTTCATCATATACTTCATTATGATGACTGAGTATTAAAACCATTCTATAACTCACTAAGTATAAGCGGTAAGTTTCTTCATTTCCGACTAGCTTCATTATTATTTCGGACTGGCTTTATTATAGTATAGTATAGTAGGCTGTATTATAGGTATATTATGCCTACAATCCGTGCTACATATATAGTAACAACACGATCCCTCCTAGATGAGCTTGCATCCCTTCATCAGAACTACAGTTTATCCGACACGAAGGACCATATTCCATAGAAAGTGTTGCAGAGGATTACTAGGAGGTTCAAGCGCATGTGCAATCCTACAATCCTCAGCCATTGTGGAACACTTTTGCTGTCGTGCTCTTTACTCTGTGGATTCACTTGCCCTCCGTTTTACTCTGTGTAACTACTTCCGGCCTCTGTCAGTGAGCTTCCCGTACCTTCCGCACATTCTCACAAACGCGAGTTTCACCTTTGTTTTCTGACCGAATTTGCGGCGAAGCGACGCGTGTTAATAAGGAGAAATGGAGCGGATGGCGCTCTTTATGTGAGCATTGTTTATTATATGGAGATATTAGTGAATAGAACAGGCTGTTTAGTTAGACGTGGTTGGTTAGCATACTGAACAATTTGAAATATTTGACGTTTTGACTAATATGAGAGGTGTGTTTTCCATTTTTATTAAGTAGTAAAATTGCTTCTCTTCACTTGATGCACTTTGTTTTTGGGCAGACAACCGCGTCGTTGAACTGGTCGACGTTTGGGATGTGTTGCAGTAATAAATCTTTGGTAAAAGCTATGATTAAACCGACAGCAGTTCAACTGCAGTTTGTAAAAGCGTTATACAGCTAAGTTAGGCACTGTAAGCTACGTTATTTTGATGTACAGCTCAGACATGACAGTTCAGAGTATTGTATGAATGTCTGAAAATTCAGAATAAGTACATTATCTACCTAAGTAGCAAATCGTCCCCAAATTACTGATGTTTTTCTTTATTTATATGCTTAACCGTATATAAATAGTAAACCGATTTATTTGGTTTAATTCGGGCTTTTATTGATCCAGATGATTTAGATTTCTAGTTAGTCCAGATTAGTCTTTTACTGTACTTGTTACAAAATTACATAATGTTTTGCATGTTAGGAACCAAATTTAGAACGCCATTGAACCAGTTAACAAAGGTGATTATTTCCAAATGGAAATAAGTATAATATTCTTGCTCTGAAACATGTTTATAGCTCACATACAATGACACTGACATCCCCGATGTCAACCAAACATCATCCTAATCACGTGACGACACTGCCGTCAACTGAATGAAAGTGGTTCAATAAATTTTGTAAATCTCTATCGAGGAAAACTGGGACAAACTTTCTCTAAGCTTCTTGTGATGAAACGTAACTAATTTCAATTTTACTAACTTATGTAAATGCAATTTCAGTTTGCAAGACATTTATGACACTCTTATTTTTATTTCATGTGCATAAGGGAATGTACAGTTGTAATGTTTTCTTGCAATACTTCAATATTCCGAGATGTTAGCTCGTCTTCAAATCTGAAGGTTACTGGTTAAATTGCGTGCAGTCAATTAGGGACACAAATACAAATGCAATTAATTGTTCATGTTTCTATCAATTAATGACTATCAAACAAAAAATCTATGTTGGTTAAGTTGTAAAAAGCTCAAATAAAACAGTGGGTTCAGCATTAGCACTATACAATTGTAATCAAGTATTGAAACTTCCTATTGATAAAATCTCAGCGCAACTGTAAATAGTTACGTCATTACTAACCGTAGAGGTGACTTGAATTCTATTAAGTGACGATGCATAATCCATAAAACATAACCATTCATTAATTGAAAATCACTTTACAAAATCACCACCATTAATGAGCACTCAAGATATATATTTATATAATGATAATTGACGTTTACAATTAGAAACCGGAGATAAAATCGGTTAGTCATAGAGCATTAATTGTCCTCAAGGCTGGATGATACCATAGAAGAAATAATGGTGATACTACCGAAGGTTTATATTTATTTTCTTTGTTCATAAAACATTGTAAACACTAATTTAAAGTTTGGTGTAAGGAAAATATTACTGCTCGTCAATGTAATTAGATGGCAAAGATATTTTCTAGTCTTGACGTGAAGACTTTCATAATCACTAAATTAGGCTACTTCACTACGATATTTTACGTGGTGCGAGTACTATTTTAAGCTCAATTTTAATACTTGCATAGTCTGTGTAAAATAAAGTAAGATGATCGGAGTAGCTTTGAATTACCGTACGTTCATTGTACGATTAAATTGTGACTAGGTAGGATCTCCTGCCTGAAAGCAATCTACTTAGATCTTGGAATTCGGAACCATACTTATAATATATGGATGTAAACTGATTATGTAATTGGATGTAATATGCCTATTTTTAAGAGAATAGCATTCATGATTTTGGTTGTCTTCTTCTTCTTTATTACGCAGAGGAATAATAGATTAACAAGTTAACGCAGCATGTTATAATGAGCTAAGTGTGATTAAAGTTTGCTGTATAATGCCAATATAATATTTTATATTTTTTCAGACCGTCTCCACCAAGATGGCCGCTCTGTCTCTTTCTTGCTTCTGTGTTTCCCTCTCCCTCATCGCCAGCGTCTCAGCTGCTTCTAACACGGTGAGTTGATATATTAATTATTCGTCTACTATAATTGACTTCTATTTACCAAGGCTGGACATCTTATATACAGAATGTCCCGTAAGTAAACAGTCAAACTCTGGGAAATGGTTCTATGGGTCAAAATAAAGAGAAAATCAAGTATAACATTGTTTTTCAAAAATCACTTCGTTAACCAGATATACGCGATTTTTTCCCACATAAACATCTTTATCTTTGAATTTTTTCAACAGATCATTATGAAACTTGGTATGTTTGTTGAAGTAAAACAGACCCACTTCATAAAAAACAATCTTAATCCAAATAAAAGCTTAAAAATTGCGGTCATTTTTATCTTTTATTAGAAATTGCTAAAACAATAGCTAATTTTATGAATAATGTCAAGGACACTTTTATTTAGCATTTAAAATTTTCTATCAAACGACACCATGTTAAAAAGATCGAGTGAAAAATAACCGAAATATCATGATTGTTAGCTGTGAAATTATCTTGAACAAGGCTAAGCTACTGTAGTTTGGTTTCCCTCACTTTAAAACTGAAAATCGTGATATTTCAGTTATCTCTTATTCGATCTTTTTTTTGACTTGGTGTCGTTTGATAGGAAAGGAAATTTTAAATGGTAAATATAAGTGTTGTTTGCTACACACCTTAAAGCTTTCTATAGACTTTCATTAACTTAGGCCCACAAAATTCCTTCGGCTATTAAGTTAGCCCACATTGAACTCCAAGTCATTTCTTTCTTAATAAAGATAATTCCTAATTTGTGTTTTATTTCTGTCTAATGAGGTAAGTCTTTATCTTAAATTTATAAAATATGAATAATTTTAACAATAAATAGATTTAGTAGGTTACAATATAAAATTTATTAATGAAATACAAGATAAGTTATTGGTTGAATTAGCTACAGGGTAAGTTAACAATGGTAAATTTTCAAAATGGTGGGGTTTCCAAAGTGGATGATATTATTCTAGGCTTATATTGGGTTGGTTTCTTCTGGAGTACTAATTAATATTTAAATAGGCTATGAGCTCTTAATCTCAGGGAGGGGTGGTCGTGCCGGTTCGAATGATATATTAGGCTTCTTTAAAATGCAGATAATTTAATTAAGTTATTGTTCTGAAATAGGCTAGGTTCCTGATAATATAATTTGTTAATGTCCAAAGAAAGATTCCAAATGGTTTCACTGAATTTAATGAAATAAAATAGAATTTGAAGATTAAATTTTGAATAAAAGTTCAATTTGAAATATATATATCTTGATGAGTTAGGTTAATTGGGTCTAGTAGGCTATGCTGATTAAATGTCCAATGAAGATTAAATTTGTCCTTAGTTAAATAAGATGGATGATGGTTACCAAATCTGGAGTGTCTGTCTTCTTAAAATTTTGGGACTCTTCAATGCACTTGTCCCGAATACTTTTGGATGATAAGAAATTTAAAATTTAGATTATACTTTTGGGATTATGAATTTAGTTTAAATCAAACACAATATCTAATAAAATAATGTTCACACTGTGAAGAGTTGGCAGGATCTGGGCAGAGGCAATGGTAGAAGCTCAGGAAGTCCATGTCCATTGTTGAAATGATGTACAGCTGGTTAATTTACATAAATGACACTTGCCACAGTAATTTTGATTTTCTTTGGATAATTTTGAAAAGTGATACTATATTTAAGATTTTATTACTATATTGCAATTTTCTTACAATTTTGTATATTATTCTAAATAAATGATTATTGTTGGTTTTTTGATAAGTACAGGGTAGATATGGTGAAAATTGGCATAAATATTATATTGTAACATAAAATAGGATGATGTTTCTGTGGGGTGATGGGATATTATATAACATTTAACAAAATTGGATAAAATAACACATTAACAAGGGGAAACATATTAAATAACTAATAATACATTATCAGGGGCATTAACAGACATTATGGGAGAAAATACACAAAATAATAGAGAAATTAATGTTAATGATGAATGAATGACATGTAATATTACATGTTGAAATTTTTTCATAAAATTAGTCATTTTTAAAATTTAAATTAAAAAAATAAAATGGCGGCCATTTTGAAAATTTTTATTGGATTACGAAATTTTGTTTTTCCAACGTGGGTATCTTTTACATTGACATAAATACCAATTTTCATACTGATCGGTTGAAAAACTTCAAAGATAATGTCTATGTAAAAAATCAAAATGGCAGATAAGTTATCTGGTTAACAAAGCGATTTTGAACAAATGTTATTCTTGATTTTTTTTCTTCATTTTGACCCATAGAACCATTTCCCTGAGGTTGGTTGTTTCCTTACGGGACATTCTGTATGTAGAGTAACTGTAGCCTACGTTTTAATTCAATTAGAACACTTTTAACTAGCCACTGACTTTCTTCTCTTTCTTTTTTGTTTTTAGTTTATACGATAAAAAAAATGTTTTACGTTTATAATATGTGATTTTTTTCAGTTAGGCTTGGTTGACAAACTGGTTAAAAATTTTCTAGTTATTATTACAATAGTTGTATGTTAGGCTCTTGCTTTGTAAATAATTTACTTTCGCTATGAATAAAGATGGTCTCATCTAACGCTTCGGTGAGAAGCCCCTTCTCTATTCATATTTAAATTAATAAACTATACCTATATCGATTAAATTACGATTACATTTCTCATTACATCAATTATTAAAGTATTTAAGTAGCATGTTAACTTTTCTCAGGATTGAACTGCTTTTGATTACCAAGCAAACACTGTTACTACTCAGCAACCAAGCTGTAGGTCTGTCTACCTTTGAATTATGGTTATACTATAAATATTGAAAGTCAATAGTGTATAAATTCAAATTGGCAATGGTTGTTCTCCAATTTGATGAATCGAAACCCCTTACGCTTTTACTTTTTCATCATACAATATGTTTCCCTAACAAAAACTAATATAATGTACGACTAGTATAAATAGTCCTAAGCACATTTTTATCTTCGCGTTGCAATCATACACCTCCCTAATCCGCTGATTTCCCAGCACAGTAGCACTGTAGCTATTCATCCGTGGACACAATTACCCTGCTTGGAGTCAATTACCCACACAGGGTAATGCTGGGAACCCATCAACATCGAGGGACATGTTCCCACTGATGCAAGCCTGATGCAACCGAAGATGTTCACATTGGCTGGTCGATGTAGCGATGTGGCTATGTAGCGATGTAGCGATGTAGCGATGCTCGAGTTTAATTAGATTCTGTGTTTTATGTAAGACATCAAGTGTAACTGGATCCTAGAATGTCCGCCCACGCAGAGAAGGTGGAACTGCGGGTAGATTTAAGTTTACCAGTTGGGTAACTACGAGTGTACAAATATGTTATGCCATGCTCTACTTGGTGGTTTCCTGTTTTGTCACTCCCTTCGACGTATTGATGGCAGATGAGCAATATTGACTTTTAATTGCAAGTGGACTACTCGACCTTTTTCCAAATTGAAGCATGTTTTTTTTTTTTCAAACCGGTGACAAAAGCAGTCAAATCTCTAAAAACTAGCATAAAATGCCAAGGAAAGACGCATCCTTCTTACAACAAAGTCCAAGACGATAACCACTAGAGTAGCAACACGTCTGATGGCAAATTGTTATTGACTTTAAAATACTGCAAGTAGACTTCTCATCCAATTGTTAAGTCTGAAGCAAGTTTTGATGTAGATTTACTGTCTGCATTGGCGTTCGCGGCTAAATGGTCCGCTCTTTTTTAAGAATAATTAAAATGCATTAATCCGAGATGTTAGTTTGCTCTTTTTGGAAGGATGCTATCCTCTTGCAAAATAGGCTTTCTTCTCTTCGTCTGAAGGACAATTTTCATCAGCAAAATGTTGACTTTTTTTAGTGATTTTAATTTTTGTTTGAAACGACGACGTAGCATGAAACGAAAAACTACTGCACTATGAATTGTGTCCTAATAAATTGTGCTTTTATAAAGTTGGGTCTGCAAAAAAACTCGACAGTTGATAAAATTTAGACTAAAGACGGAGGATGGATACTTTTTTGTCGATGAAGTCTTAACACTATAACTTTGGATTTTCGCATTCTTCCTAGTCCCAAAAGACCAAACTGGCGTAGGTTTAGTAAATGGGCTAATGTGATATATAGTTTGGGCGGCACGCGGTGCGTCACAATACTCCTTTGTGCGGCGAACTGTCGCAGGTTGGGCAACTCACGCTGACGGCGCCGGCGACTCAAAGCTTTCACTGGCTTTGTCCCCAACTCACTTTCTTCAGCTGATCTTGCAAGTCTGTGAAAATGTCTCGTGTTGTGGAGCCTAAACGAGCCATCAGTTTACACGGTTTTGTGGACGGATGTTTAGTACTTAAAATACCTAAACATGTGTTCAGCAGTGTTAGGGGTTAGTTGCTAACTAACAATACCCGGTTGTATCTATCTTATGCAGGATGTATACAAACTCCCTGAGTTGTGAAATTATTCTTTAGTTAGAGACAGTAGTTAAAATCATATATGTATTAATTAATCTAAAATGTCTGGTTTTCATTCCGTCTATCTGTCTATGTTTTAACACATAAATTTTGAAATCCTTGAATTATTAACTTAAACTGGTACATGCTTTTCACAGATATGACCCATCCGCATACAAAGTATCAAAATTCTACCTAGTATCATTTTGGTGGTCAACTAAAATTTCATTTATTCTGAAAATGTTTAAAACAAGTCAATTTACAAAATAATATAAAAAATACCCCCGCCGCAGCAAACCTGCAGACTAAGCGAATTTCCATTTGACTGATTTGATTTACACTGAAATGTCTACTTAAAAATATAACATTTATTCCCGATTTAAATAGAATTAGTTTAACAAGTACTTAGGTTTGCTGCATCAGGGAGGGTAAAACTGTTTTTTTTTATGTTAATAGTTAGTAAGAAATAAAAACGATTTCCAAATTTGATCAAAATATGTTCATAAACAAGCAAACTACAACAGTTTAATTATTCTCCATAAGAATAACATG